TGCAAAATTGATTGCCTGCACTTGAGGGTAGCAATCTTTGATATTTCTTTTCTTCCTCTCTCTCGAATCCCTAATACCCAAATGCAAATTATTATTCAATTCCCCACCAGATGCACTTTGCTGATCCTCTGCTTTACCCGAAGCTGTAGTAAGCCCTAATCCGCCTAATACTTGCATTTTGCATGCACGCAAATCTGGCCCAGTCCCTTCTTTCGGCCCATAAATGGAGTCCAACCTCAAGCCCGATTCTGATACAAGCCCATTCTTCTCCACTCTTTCCCATTGCTTGGCTACCGTTACTTCTTGATCATTTAAATTCAAAATGCCCTTCTCCTGCATTAACTCATCCTCAATATCTGCTTCATCATCGCCACGAATCACGGAGGCCATCAATTCAGGCTCCTCCTCTCCCTGTTCCGACGAGGAATATTCTGATCCCGATGATGTCTCACCGTTTCGATCATCATCCGCCAACCACCAGTCCGGATCGGCTCGCCACTCTTCCTCCACCACCATTATCTCATACAGCTTTTCCTCCACCTTCAACTTCATGGTCTTTTCGATTTTATGCTTTTTAGCACATAAAATTAAAAATCTTCCATCACACAATATAGATTTTGATTTGGTATCTGCATGAAGCATTATCACTTCCCCCACCGATGCTGCTATCCGCTCAAAGCATCTGTCACACCATGCTTTTAATGGAACACCAGAAATTCTCAACCAGACCATTCTACCACCATTTAGAGGAGCCAAAGCCCAAGGATAGATAATCTCACACCAAAGATCAAATGATTCCTTGTTATGCTGTATATACTCACTCAAGTAACCTTCCACACGTTCAGTCAACAATACACTCCTCCCTCCTAATGGAGATAGATTAATCAAACCTCCATCGATGTCTACTCTCTCTTGTATATTGGATATCATTGACATCGATCACACTACCGCTACAACTCCCCCTTCCAGCCACACGTTCTCCTCTTTGGATGGGGAGAAGTCAATGATACTCTCCTTCGTTTCTCCATCCATAGCTCCACCTACCTTTTCACCGGATCTAGCATTCTCAAGCCCCAAAGGCTTCCCTGGAGTGATGGACGCCCTGTCCATGGGATCAGCTCTCTCCTGCACCCCTACAGTTTTCCTCCAAACCTGGGCACCCACTGCCCTCGAAGAGTATCTCTTGACCGCCTGAACATATGACCGCCCTAGCTTGACGAAACTCTGCGCCCTGATTCTACCCTTCCTCTCGGCTTCCTTCTGATAAACTGTTCCATTTTGCCCCCTATCGATGGCTACCTTTACTCGCAGCTTATAAGAACCAATCCAGATCTGATTCAATCTCCCTTCCAGATTTTGAACATCCTGCACCCCTAACATTCTGACGAAACCGAACCTTTTCCCCCATTTGTCCCTCTTTGCTGGCACAAACACATCACCGACCCTTCCACACTCTTGAAACCGATGCCACAAAGCCTTTGCGTCCCAATTGTCTGGGAAATTATAAAAGAAGAACGACTGTCCCTGATTCCAATTCCGAAACTCCCCAGTCCTCCGATGCTGCCTTTGCCGTCGTCTGGAGTTGCCGCTGTCCCACGTCCCGTCGTCTCGCGCTCTAAACCTAGACCTCGCCATTTTTCAAAATATAAATTAAATACTAGCAAACATAACTAAATTAACCTCTCTTTTTTTCAATTATACGTATGTTTCCTTTTTTCACCTAAGTCCCGAGACTCTGGTGAGTATTGCAGTGGCGAATCTGCCAGAGTTTGCTGGATACCTGGCCAACACATTGAATGAATGCCACAATAAATGGTAGCTGATAGAGGCAATGTGGATTGAGATACTTCTTTATGCAGCACATTCGTACCAGCATGTAAACCATATTAGGAGTAACCCGGGACAATATGGCCGAGAGTTCCTTGCCTTAATATGGATCATGGCTGGCAATCATATTTTACAACAAGTGATACTGGAGCAGCTGTAGCTATTATGGCCTTAGACTTCGCTGCAGGGAATTTATGGATGCTCTTGTTGTGCGTTTGATTTTTTTCTTTCTTTCCTTTTTCTGCGTGTCTGATTCAAGTCTGCCAGTCTTGATGCATGCAATTAGTATATTTGTTCTTCGTACAATGTGAGATGAAATAAATGTTGGACAATTGTAGATTTTTGAATTTTATTTTTATGTTTCAAATACATTGCAATTCCTACAGATAATAACAACTAATAAATATTTGACAAATCAAAATATAATTCGTAAATTACAAAGAATTACAATCCATCATAAGATTAGAAAAGGGTCAGCAAATTTAATGCCCTAGATACCGAAGGAAATTCTTTTCAGAATATTTCTTTGGATCATTAGAACCTAGATCAATTTAAGAACCATTAACCCTAACAGCAAAAGGAAAAGGATAAGCAGAAGTCACATACCCTTTTTTGCCTGACCTGTTCTATAACTTAGTAACATTGTTTTATTAAAAGACAGAATTTTACTTGGTTTTTAAGACCAGAAAAGCAAGAAGCACTATTTTGGATCCTAGCTAAATTAAGCTTTACTGCTAAGATATATTTTCTTTTACTTGATATTTTACTTTCTTTTTTGTGACTTGAATCAGGATGTACAGCAGAAATAATGAAAAAGAAATCTAAGTGCAGAAAATAAAGCAAATACAGAATTTACATGATTCACTACTACAATATGTGATAGCTACATTTACGAGAGAAGGAGAATATCAAATCCATAAGGAATGATCAATGCTTTACAAGAGATTTGAATAGTCTAAATCACTCAAAGCACACTCCAATAGGAGTCCCTAGTAAACTCAAGCTCACTCTACCCAAGAAAATCCCTTTGATAGTAAAGAACCACCTTGTTTCCTCTTACGGTGGCTGGCGTCTAACTCTCACCCCTGTTTTCCCTCAAAAAAGCTCCCTTGTATTTATGGGAGTACAAAAAGATAATTTGGTAATTCTAGAGAAAGTCCAAAACACATAGCATCACTAAAGCATATTAGTGAGCTTTTAAAGACTAGATTTTCTGGTATGATGCCAGATTTATGAACCTTCATGACTGGTTCCATAATCTTGCTGCCAACTTTGAAAGCTTTAACATGATTTCAAGGCATACCTCACATTTTTCATGTGGAAAAAGTTGGTTGACAGAGTTATTATGCTCTCGATTTTAACTTAATTTATTCAATTTTACAATGGAAGATGTATTAAAGCTACAAAAATTAGCTTCTCTAATTTCCATCTATGGTAATCAAAGAATGAGAATATGGATGGAATTAATGATAACTTTAAGTGCCTCATAAGTAATTAAGTGTTCTCTATCTTTCGACTTGAGTGTCTGTGCATATATATGTTTAACATCGATCGCAGTTCATATATCATTCCAAAAATTTTAAAAAAAAAAAAAGAAAAAAAAAGAAGAATGAAAGCACTTGTCCACACTATATATCAAACAATATTGCCAAGGGCATGCATTCATGCGCCATCAGCAATGTTTGGAAGGTACGTCCAGAATATTCTGTAAAGATAACTATCAATTATAACAATCACTTTAAATCACTTTAAATCATGTATTGACGTTGCTTGGTATTTGCATTTGTATAAACGGTGAGAAGATAGCATGCAGCATCAATTGCAAGATCATTCTCATTGGTGCGGAAGACACGAAATGCATCAGATGTGAGAGTGATGGTTCTTCTGAACCAGCCCTTATAAATCATTCTCCTTGTTTTGGGCAAGCATAGAAAGTATAGTGTTAGCTTATTCAATTAAATAATTCTCTAGTTTGCTTAACTAAGCAAAGATTGGGTTGCCATTTCTGCTTGTGGTTTGCTTATTCATTCCTTTTCTTTTTTCCACCTAAGTCCCCAGACTGCGATGGAGAATCTGCCAAAATATGCAGAATACCTGGCCACAAAATTGAACCAAAACATAAATAGATGGGAGCTCATAAAGGCAATGTGGATTGAGATGCTTCTTTATGCAACACATTCATACTATTTCATAGCGACTTTCTTTCTATATTAATAGCTTTATTTATGCTTTTACGGCAAATCATATTTTAAACTCTAGGTGCCTAGATTACTCTTTGTATTTAATTCTTTATATCTATCATGACCATAATTTTTGTTTATATTAGTGTTGTAGGATAAGCTTCTGCTTTAGGTATTGGCCATGTCTAAAGAATTTATATGTAATCTCAATTTAATTATTTTAATATAATTTCTATTTTTTATAACAAAACAAATGGAAAAATAATTGGTACACACTTAATATGATTTTCACACCCATCTGGTTCAATAATTAAAAATATAATATAGATACAACTGATTTAACTAGTTATAATATGCTGTTTGTATGATTGTATTTTTAAGTTTATTTGCTTTTAATTTTAAACCTAAATGATATGCTAAAATCACTTTAATAAGTGTATTAGTCGTTTTAAGTAATATAATGATAAGAAAAGTATCGAATCCACGAGAATTGTAATTAATTAAGTTCAAAAAATTTAATCTAAATTTATTTGACTAATCAAAAAGTAAATAAACTTTAATTAAAAATAATAAAAAGAAAATAACAATTAAAATAAAACTAATTAATATATGAGATACTAAGGCATCAATTTCAACATAATCAACCAATCAATATAAATTCTGGATTAATATGCTTCAAAAACCACTTTATTGAGTATTATTATATGTGATGGCAGATTCCTTTAAATTAATTAATTAACTTTTTCAAGTCAAGTTAATTTTTCACATATTTATTAAATTAGTCAACAAATGAATATTAAATTCTATGAAAACCTTCAGCTTAAGAAAGAGGAGCTCTTAACTCTCTTTTCTACTCTTCTCTTCTCTTCTTTCACTACCATATGTGACACTAATTACCTTTTGATCTTATAATCTAACACATGATTTATATTATTATTGTTTTGATTTATGCAATTTTTTCTCAAATTCATACATAAATCACTAAATCAATTGAAATGTGATTAGACTTTCAATGCATTGAATGTAATAATATAAACTTATCATGTGAATAAATTTAATTGAAAATATAAAAGTCACAAAATTTATATTAAATTTATTAGGCTATATTATAACTTTAATAAACTAAATTAGTTCATAATAAACGTAATAAAACTTGAAATCATAGTTATGAATATAAAAATATCAAATAATAGATAAAAAATAATTTAAAAAAAAAACAAAACTTAATTTTAAAAAATTAAAATTTTTAATTTTTTATTGTTGATAAATCCTTTAACTTAATCTCCAAAAGTGCTTAAAAGAGGGCAGCCACCGACTTCCAAAAGCTCTCCCTCAATTTTAAAAAACTTAATTAGAATCGAAGTGAAACTCATGCCAAAAAAAATAAGCCAACCACAGATTTGCTGAAATCGCATAAAGGGCCAACACCTTCGATCTGTACCTACACCCTGTATTAAGCCCCGACTGAAATCAACACTGACAAGTAGAAATTATCAGTTACAGGAATTATTACATTTTTTAATTTTTATTTTTAATTAATATTTTTTATGATTTAAAATTTACAAAAAAAAAGTCTCAAATTATTAATCAAATTAAGATGTAAACAGAGGGTTTAACAATTAATTCTTAAATTTTTTTATAAAATTTAAATTATAAAAAAATATTGACAAAAAATAAAAACTTTTAAAATTATTAAT